TGTGCTCTAGTAACAAAGATAACAGATCTTAGTCCACTTCCTATGCTGTAAGCATTGAGACCCATTTATATAGACGGAGGAATACATTTAGATTTTAGTTTCTCTAATCTCATCTCTGATCCTGAACGGTGTTGCACAAATGTAAGATTTTGGTAAAGCAGGACCTGTAGGACAGCGTAATATATTTTAGTGCAATTTTATTTATCCCAGTATAAGCCCATTTATCTCTTAGGGATCTCCATATACTGATTGTACATTCTGTTTCCCCTTTACTTGAAGACCAGCTGCTGCAATAATTTCTGCATTTGTGCTTATCCAACTTACCTTTCTCAATCATACAACCAGGACCGGCCTGGGAAAAATGTGTCTTGAGTATTTAAAGGCAGTGGGGCCGAGGACAGAGAGGGGCATTTCATGTCATCAACAATGACATCCATGACACCTCATGTCTTGTGTTTATTATGCACAGCACAAGCAAATTTAATTACATGCTTGCGCTGCATTTGCTGGTGATGAGTCTCTTGTATTTCTATAAGCAGGATGCCAGAGGACAAAAGTGTGATATGACCAGCAAAAGATGTTGTCCTTGTGTAAAGAGCTTGCCTGTGGTATTGTATGTTGCTGGAGGCTACTTGAGGGATTGTGTGTAGAGGTGACTGTTTGTGCTGTAGTGTGTGTAAAGGAGTCTGAGAATTAGTGGGGAACCTTCCTGAGAGTGCAGACATTTACAGAAAAGGTGAAAAGATTGGGCAGAGAGGTACTGAGAAGGAAGTTCCAGGGATGAGCAGCATCTGTTGGAGAATGTACAGCATTGAGTTAGGAACCAAGTGCTTGGACCATGAAGAATGTTTTTGTTTTGGGTTGTTTATTTTTATAAAGCCACCACCCTACCACACCTTCCCTGGTTGTGACTGACACAGTCTGCATGAAAAATATAATTTCATTTTCAATCAGATATTAACTTGTTTTAGAAGTATATATGTCCTGTTCTATAAATTGAACCTCAATCACTAACATGAGGCCCCTCCAAGGTCTGGACAGCTTTTAGCAAAGCAGGAGATAATACATTCTAAATTATACAGATCGTGTAATAAAGGAAGTTTAAACATTAGATCTCACATTACAGGAAATGTTTAGGAATGCTGTGCAAGTTACATGTAGGGAGAAGTGACTTATGCTGTATACACAAAAAAGTTAATTTCTAAATGGTAGAGAATTGAGCAATGAAACTGTAAGGTCATGATCTATACATCAAAACTGGTTTATTATGCTAGCATTGTTTTGGTTCCAATAGTGTCCCTTTAAGAAACAATATTGGACAAAGTGTGATATGTCTGGTTCTAAGTGGATTTGAACCCTTCAGTCTCACTCTGTGTGACATTCTTTGACACTGTTAACAGATTGTTGTACTGCTAAATTAATTTCTAGGAGTATTATCTGCAATGCAGATAAAGAGGTTGAACACCAGCTTTTTACTTTGAATTGAGCTTAAAATAGCAACTGTCTAGGGGAAAGATTGCCTTATTTAAAGGTGATCTTTGCAGATCTTTTTTTTTATTACTCTTTATTTTGGCAGGTGATGTATGACATAAACAGCAGTTTGATTGTATAACAGTTGATAAGCATAGTCAAGATTTGCAAACAATGGTGTCTAGTGTGTTCATCTAATTTTTTAAATTACAGCTATCGGTAGACTAGTGATGCCCTGGAGCCTGGGGGTGGGTAGTCGAAGCATCGCCCAAGGACTGAAGGAAGGCCAGGCCTTCTGTGGGGCTAATTGCTCGCAGGGTCTTCCCCTCTTGAAGTACTGTGAGGGATCTTGGGTACGTCCAGCGGTAAGCTAGTCCCGCAGCTTGTAGAGCTTCGGTAATGGGTTTCATCGATTTCCTCCACAGTAAGGTGGGCCTGCTGAGGTCTTGAAAAAATTTTATGTTGTGTGTTTCAAACTGTAGCAGGGTTTTACCTTTGAGTGCCGTGTGGAGCCTTTGTTTATCTGCGACGGTTTGACAGCACAGGATTAAGTTTCTGGGAGCCGCGGTGGGCGCATGTGAGGTTTTCATGATGCGGTATGCAAATTGTTTGGCGGATTTCGCAGGTAGGATGGTTGTGTTTAAACGTCTTATGAAGTGGGGAATTTCTTCCGGAGGGAGTGAGTCTGCTACCCCTCGGATTTTGATGTTACGTTGCCTTCCTCTGTTATCCAACTGGTCCATTCGTGTGGATAATAAGGTATGAAGTGCTCTTAGTTGCTGGACAGATTCATTCAGGGAAGTCATCCTTTGGTTGAGATCCTGTATGTCCTCCACAGTAGCTTGTACACTGTTGGCCACTGCGTGCACCTCTGTCTTAACCAAATTCAGCTCAGTCGAGAACATGTTTTGGAAGTGCATGAGTAAGTTGTGTATGTCTTGCTTTGTGGATGGGGCCGTTCCATTAGTTATGGCTGGGGCTTCAGTTATTACTATTCCCGCCGTGGATGGCGTTGGAGTAGCTTCTGGCTGTGTAGCTGCCATACCTCTAGTGCGCGCAGAGGCCACCAGCATCTGGCCGACATCTTGCCCGTCTTTAGGAGTAGGTGGAGAAGGCTGTTTGCCGTAGGCAGGTTACCTCCTGTGTCCAGAAAGCCCCAGTGTGCCGCACTCAGGTCCCATGCTGTAGGCCTGGCTTCCCTGCCATCGGTTTTTGCCACTCGTTGGGAAAATGAATGGTATCAGCCTGCTTGGGACCGCTGCCCCTTTATGATGGTGGCGGTTGTTCCTCGGCAGAACTCTCGGTTCACAGGATATAGTCGCTTTATTTGGTGGTGTGTTCGGAGCTCACGAAAATGGTGTCTAGCTCGGTGTGCTGCTTAGCTCTGCCCCTTCCTTGCAGATCTTGTATGTTTAGTAACCCCTTAGTAACCAGACCTTTTTCAATTTTATTACCATTAAGGACCAGGGCTGTTTTTAAATTTCTGCAGTCTTTGTGTTTAGCTGTAATTTCCCTCTTACTCATTCACTGTACCCACACATTTTATATACAATTTTTTCTCACCGTTAAATGGTCTTTTGAAAGAGACCATTATTCATCATATCATGTAATTTAATATAATTTTTTTTTATAAAATATGATTAAAAAAATTTAAATAAACATCTAATATTTGTGTTCAGTGAACTCTCCCGAGTAAAACAGTACCCCCCCATGTAGAGTTTTAGAGTGTTATGGAAAGTTACAGGGTTACAGTGCTAGCAAATTGAATTCTCTGGACTTTCAGCCTGGATTCTCAGGCATGTCCCTCAAATTGCAATCAATAAAATTACTTAATTACATAAAAATTTTACATAAATATGCACGTTGAATTTAAATATATTTAAATATATATATATATATATATATATTTGAAGTCTACGTGTACAGTTATGAAATTATTTATGTAATTATGTATAAGGATATATATATATATATATATTTCATATTATTTGTATTTATATATATATAATTTCATTCTACATGTATTTTGATATAAATATATATATATGTATATATGTATTAATATCAAAATACGGTTAGAATAAAATTATATATATATAATTTTTTTAAATTATTTAAAAAATATATATTTATTTTTATTTACTTATTAGTTATATTTTATAATAATATATATTTACAATATATACAGTTATTACATATATTATATATACAGTGGGACCTCGGTTTACAAACGCCTCGGTTAACATAATTTTCGGCTTAGAAATGAAAATCCGTTGATAATAATAATAATGCCTCGGTTTACAATTTTTTTTCGCAATGCAAAGCAAGTTTCCCCAGGATCCATTGGACCTGGGAGGTTTATATCACCGCCCCGTGCATGCTGGAGCCTGTGGGTAGCACGTTGTGTCGAGTGTGGAGGTGCTCGAGGTGTTGAAGTGGCTTTTGCATCGAGTTTTGGAGCCACTCTGGAAATTGTTTGCAGTTGTTTTGGGACTTTTTGGTGCATTTCTCAAGCTGTGGAAAGGTAAGGAGCTTCGCTTCGTTGTTTACATGCCTTTTATTGTGTGTTCTGCATTGTCGGTTGGTTTCCATGCCAGCTCATTTTCACCTTTTTCTGACCTCCAGAATGGATTAATTGGTTTTCAATGCATTCCTATGGGAAACTGTGTTTCGGTTTACAAATTTTTCGCAATAAGAAACGTCTCGGAGAACGCATTAAATTTGTAAACCGAGGTCCCACTGTATATATATATATATATATATACGTGTGTAATTTAATTCTAAGTGTATTTTTATATTAATATATGTATATATTAATATAAAAATACACTTAGTATGACATTATATATATAATTTATGTATATATATATGTAATATAGTTATAGATATATCTATATCATACATATATAATTATATTTTGATTTTTACATTTTTTTTTTCTATTTTACAACAGCAGGGAGACTGCCTGTCATTTTAGCCAGTCCCCCTGCAGGCAGATACATGCAGATACAGCAATCACATGGCCCGGGAGCCTGCCTAATTTGACGATGGGGACTGTCTGGGCTGTCAGGCAGTCCCCCCATACCGGGAGCAACACTAATTACCGGAGGGGGAACGGCGGGGATAGGGTAAGTAATACGGACGGCTCATATTTATCTTAAGGACTGTTTTTTGTTGGACGTTCCTAGTATGTCTGCGGTCCCTAAGAAGTTAAATATTGTATATGTCATTTATATCATCTCCCTTGCAAAGTTTATTCTAATTGGCCTCTTTTTTCGCTTCTAGTTCCAGAATGTCTTAAGGCTTAAGCCAATGCATAAGGAACTCTTTGAATGCTGCATGCCAAGAAATCCTGGGATCTCAAAGGGATCAAACCAAAGCTGCAAGACACCCTTATTCTGCTCATGTGGTAGTTGGCCCAAGGAAAAATATAGGTTCTTGTTGCACCCAGGCAGTAGCACCCATGTATTTCTTTGTATTCAACCTATCTGCTTTTGGTTTGTTCCAACTCTTGTCTGCATTGTTTGTTAATTTTTACCTCCCATATCCAATGTTTGAAACAATATCTGCTGGGTTTTCTGGATTGTTATAACTGAATATTTGTAACCCATATACATGCATCACGTTTTTCATTTTGTGGACTCTTCGTGAGTTGTTGTCCCTTACAAACGGTATCCATTTCTCTCTGGATCCCAACATCTCAAACATACCGTGCCAATAAAATGATTATCTATATCTCTGGTAAAGAAGAAATCTCCTTCTTGGTTCTTGAGTACCCAGATGACAGCAACTTACCTAAGATAACTGTGTATGAGACCTACTGGCAATGAACAACCCACGTGGTAACCCACGACATATTTGTCTAATCTACAGTATTTTACCCAACTGGGGTTTGAAAAAACAAACTTGCCCAAAAATTAAAAAGATGAACTGGGTAGTTTATACTATCACCAGTACAAATAATGGAGCGCAAAGTCAACAGATAATCACAACCCCTTAAGGACACATGACACGTATGACATGTCATGATTCGCTTTTATTCCAGAAGTTTGGTCCTTAACCCCTTAAGACCGGAGGGCATACAATTACGTCCTATTTTAAGCGGCTCTAAACGCTGCACGCCCTCCGGTTTTTGTTTACTTACCCGGTGGGACCGCCGGCGATCGCGGTGGGGGGGACTCCCAGGGAGCCCCCCGCGGCAGATCCTCCACCTCCGGTGCCACCCGACTATGTGAGAGTGAGGTCTTTGCGAGAACCTCATAATCACATGGCCGGGATAGCTGGCTTCTGTATTGCCAGCAGGGGGACTGCCTGTAATTACAGGTGGTCCCCCTGTTGGCTAGAAATAAAATTAAAATAAAATGTATAAGTGTAAAAAACCCAATTATACTTAGATCATATATACTATATATATATATATGATCTAAGAATATATATACACATATACATACACACACGTACACTGTCTAGGTGTATTTTACTATTAATATATATTTACAATTATATATATATATATTAATATCAAATTACACGTAGACTGATACTGATTAAATATATATATAATTATTGTTACATATATATATAATATAAAAAAATTAAATATGTAAATACGTTAAAAAATAAAATTAAAAAACTAATTAAAAAAATTTTAAAAATTATATAGATGTGTGTTATTTCATTCTAACTGTACTGTGATATTAATATATATATATATATATATTTATATCAAAATACACGTAGAACGAAATAATATATATATCTACATACATAAATATATACGTATATATCACTATATATATACCTATATATAAATAAAAATATTTAAAAAAAATTATATATATATACACATATAGATTCACATACATATATATATATATATATATATATATATATATATATATATATTAATTCTACATATATATTTATGTAATATTTTTACATAATTAGGTATCTTAATTAATTACAATTAGCGGGACCTGCCTGACAACCCATGCCGAAAGTAAAGGGAATTTAATTTGCTAGCTCTATATTTAACCTTATAACTTTCCAAGACACCATAAAACCTGTACATGGGGGGTACTGTTCTACTCGGGAGACTTCGCTGAACACAAATATTAGTATTTCAAAACAGTAAAATGTATTACAATGATGATATCGCCAGTAAAAGTGAAGTTTTTTGCATTTTCCATGCACAAACAGCACTTACACGGACGATATTATTGCTGTGATACTTTTTGCTGTTTTGAAACACAAATATTTGTGTTCAGTGAAGTCTCCCTCATGTACAGGTTTTATGGTGTTTTCAAAAGCTACAGCATCAAATATAAGGCTTGCGTTTCATTTTTTTCACATAAAAATTCACCAAGAATGAAAATTACCCCTATGATGGCATACCATTTGCAATAGTAGACAACCCAAGGTATTGCAAATGGGGTATGTCCAGTCTTTTTTAGTAGCCACTTAGTCACAAACACTGGCCAAAATTTGTGTTTTTTGCATTTTTCACACACAAACAAATACTAACGCTAACTTTGGCCAGTGTTTGTGACCAAATGGCTACTAAAAAAGACTGGACATACCCCATTTGCAATACCTTGGGTTGTCTACTATTGCAAATGGTATGCCATTATGGGTGTAAATTTCATTCCTGGGCTACTATAAAGTCCCAAAGGCAACGTAACCAATCTGGCGAATTTCAATTTCAAATGTAACGTGCTATATTTGACCCTGTAACTTCCCAAAACACCATAAAACCTGTACATAGGGGGTACTGTTTTACACGTGAGACTTTGCTGAATACAAATATGTGTATTTTATTGCAGTAAAAGCAAACAGTATTATAACATTGACAGTTAAAAGTCATGTAGAACTAAAAAATTCAAAAAAATCTTATTTTCTCCAATTTATTTCATATTAAATTATGTTTCATAGCTAAATATTTGATATTAAATGAAAGCCCTGTTTCCCCTGAATAAAATGATATATAATAAGGGTGGGTGCATTTAATATGAAAGAGGTGTATTACGGTTGGACAGACATGTAGCGCAAATGCCAGGTTTTGTTTACATTTTGTTTCGTTCACAACGTGTACATTTGGCTCAGTCCTTAAGGGGTTAAGGGGTTAAATGGCAAACTCTTTGTATGTGACTGTTTTTACTTTCTTAAATCTCAGCTGTCTTCACCCTTCAATTTTCCTAGTGTATCTATTTCTTAGCTCATTTATAACATACTCTGGAGAATGCCAAACCAAGTTATGACACAGGCTAGCTTCTACTAGCCAGTACCTATACCTCCCAGAGTCCCCCATTGCCATATGTTGTAAGTACAATAGATGTAATAAAGTGATTATTTTGGGGGGTTCTAAGCTTATTGAGATGTTCTATTTTTCTTTCCTTCTTTTGGGAACTAGCGATGTCTGTCTTTTCTTAGTACTAATAAAGTAATTCATATTTACCTACTACCTACACTCCTACCATGTTGCGCCCCTGAATGTTTTTGTTTTACCCTTACATATTGTCAGATTTGCAGAAATTGTCTTACCTCCATCTCTTATTGAATAGCATTCCATCTTAAACTGAAATCATCCAATTGTCAGAACATTTGACAACTATTCTTCTAAACATTTGTCAAATGTTCTTGCAAAAATGACAATCATCTCCTAACGTCTACTTAAGCTTTAATATAAGCCAAATCTATAGGGTTTTAGGTAGGGTATTTTATATCTATCATGCCAAAAAATATAGGACAACTAACTTTTATTTATAATGCATATTATTTATCTACATTACAGTGAATTTGATTTAACATATACACTTTTATAATGTGATGGTAGTGAAAGATATGTAGAGCAAACAGTAATTGGCTTTAGGTTTGGTGTGCTGCATGAGATATCTCCTAATTATATAGTAAATGTATAATTACCATAAAACTATTTTTCAACATATACTGATTGCTGGCATCATTAATTTCTTTATTATGCTGCTTTGCATATATGTATTTCTTTATCATGAGAAAAAAGAGCTAATTAGCCAACCTATATAAAAACTTACAGGGTTATTTAAAGTGAGAAGTCAAAGTGAATATAAAGTGAATTTCAAATGTAAGGTCAAAGTAGCCATACTGGAAACATTATCTAAGTCAACTATGTTTTCAGTGCAGCTACTCTGGCCTTACATTTGAAATGTACTTTGAATTCACCTTGCATTGTTACTTTAGTTAAAAACCTTGTTAGTGGTTATTAATCCACCTGTAGCATGTCTAACACATGCTAATCCTTGGGATCACATGTTGCCAGGGTTAAAGAAACACTCCAAGCACCATGGCAACTAAGCCACACTGTAGTATTAAGGAACCCAAGAATGCCCTGATACCCCAATATAAGTAGTCAAACTGTTTGCTAATGGTTTAACTTCTTACCTGGGGTCACTGTCTATCCCCTTACAGGTTTAAGAGTCCAAAACAAAGACTGAGAGCATAAAGCTGGATTGTGGTAGGCACCAGCATTAAGTAATATGTAAAAACATTATCAAACTGTTTACTACTTAAATTGGGGGTGCCAGGTCACCCCTTGCTTTATCACCACTATACCGCACTGTACTGTTTATGCATGCTGTAGTGGTTATGATGCCCGGAGTGTGCTCTTAAATCAGCTTTACAAATGATTTAAAATAAATATAATTTATTTTGGTGGTAATGAAATACTCTTAGAATACTGAAAATACCCTTCCCAACTAAATAACTCAATACTATTATTTACTTGTTTAGCAGATCAAAATGTAATGTTTTGCAAAGAGTTAGAAACACACAATCCTTGTAAGTTTGATAATTAATGTCTCAATGATTCTGCATAGATTATAGATGTGCAGCCAACAATACTTGAAACTGTTTTTGAGACTGCAAGTTTGGACATAGTTATGTCTTTTCTACTGAGGCTCTGAGTGCTCTACAATGGAACAAAAGCTTAATAGTTTGTCAGAGCTATGGAGATAAATAGTATGCCCCTTAGTGCTGCTATGGAAAAGTCTTTGATCACAGTGAACAGAATACTTTTTAAATAAAATACACTGCACTATTTGTACAAAATATCTGTCCCCAGTAGATATTGATTCTGTGTTTCATTCATTGGCAAGTTTTCTAGGTGCATTATGAGATTTAAAGTGCTAATTATAGCTCCACAATTATTTTAAAATTAAAAATAACAGCTCAAACATAGACCCTTCTTTATGCTACATTGACAAATGCAGGATTCTGTTCCTCATTAAAAGGCAGAATGTTAAAATATTTTATCGATGAAGCAACGATTTGCTTCAATGTCCAGTGATATTAACTTCAGAGCAGTGCTTCATTTAGAAATTCTATTCATTTAACATCTTCCACTAACACAATCATTTCACTTGATCAATAGAAATCACCTTAGTTCACACATGTGGCATTAGTGGAACCTGTCTCTTGTATGGCTTAATTAACATTTATTACACTAAAATACATAAATATGAATCCAAATTTTGGTTTGTTGCTTGTAATCACAGAAAATATATGTTCCTTTAAGGACATATGAAAAAATTACAAATGTAAATTAATTAAGGCTTTCAACAAATTAAACACACGCTGAAACACATACATGTACACAGACACACAGGTGCACATACTGGCACACATGCAGATACACAGGCACACACTGTTACACACACCAATATACAGATGCAGACCGACACACATGCAGATACACAGACACACACTAACACACATACAAATACAAAAATATACACTGATACACACACAGATCTATAGGGCACACATATACACATAGGCACACACGGACACACAGATAGATACAATGACACACTGAATATGGCAAAAAACAAGATGTAGTTTATACAACTCCGTAGGAAAGTATAAAACAAAAGGTGATATAAAACAATAAATATATAGAGGATGTAACCTGTGATAAACAGGATGTAATAATGGAGATCTGAAAATATAAAATCACATATAGTGAAGTATATACAGATAAATGGCTAAGTCCAGGAGGTAGAGAACTTACAAGAGAACATAGATGTTCTGCACATATCTCCCCTCGGGGTAATATTTAGATGGTGGAAGCTCCTTCCAATAAGCTGAATCCTTAAAAGGAAACCGGATGTTTTGAATACACACGTCCACAAGAAGTGCATACACACCGGATCCGGAAGTGCTTCGCACCATGATGGAACGCAAACCGTCCGATAGGATACACCTGTGTCCCCTTCACAGACCGGTATAAGAAGCAGAAGAGTTCTACATCTTCTAAATCCCTGAGGAAGTCAAGGTTTTGATGAAACGCGTTGGATCTGCAGTCTTGACATTTTTTTTTTTATGAAGTCCATTCTTATTTGCTAAAATTATTTTGTTTGTGTTTTTTATTTTTATTTTATTTGACTACAACTTTGTTGTCACATCATCCTGCCTGATGAGAATACATCTTATTCCATTTGCTAGTGGAGATATGCCAGTTGATTTCAACATTGATTTAAGTGCAATCAGTAAATAAATCTTTGTTACATTTTACAGTATTACACTATCTGCACTTTTTCTCTTTATCCTTCTGAGGATTCAGCTTATTGGAAGGAGCTTCCACCATCTAAAGATTACCCCTGAGGGGAGATATGCGCAGAACATCTATGTTCTCTTGTAAGTTCTCTACCTCCTGGATTTAGCCATTTATCTGTATATGCTTCACTATATGTGATTTTATATTTTCAAATCTCCATTATTACATCCTGTTTATCACAGGTTGTATCCTCTATATATATTTTTTGTTTTACATCACTTTTTGTTTTATACTTTCCTACGGAGTTGTATAAACTACATCTTGTTTTTTGCCATATTTATGTGTGTATGTGAGGTACACTTTTCCAGGTGATGGCACTGTTTGTTGTTGTGTCACATATATAGTACACCCTCTGTTTAATGACACACGGACACACAGGCACATTAACACACATATGGAAACACAGACAAATATACAGACACACATACAGCCACACAGATAGATACAAAGATACACTGACACACATACAGACACATAGATAGATACGCTGACACACATACAGAATGCAAAATATACACATTTTTAGCCACCCTCCTATTTCCTTCATTTGGGTACAGGAGGGTGGCTTCCCTGGGGTCTAGTCTGTTGGCAGAGGCTGTTTGGAGTTAGAGGTTCTCACACTCCGCATTCCTTTTTATCTGCCTTCTCCTCTCACACAGCTCTGTCTGATTGCTGGGAGTAAGTGACCCGCTCTTACTTCCTCCCGTGCTGCCATTATTGAAGGAGCCCAGTCGCATTGTTAAAAGCTCATAGGGCTTGACCTGAGCCCTAGAAGACACATTCCCATCAGGTGGCCCTAAGTGCATGGGCCACCCAATGGGTCCCTTCAGCACGCGGGTCCTGGTGCAGCTGCACTGGTTTCACCTGTGGTAGTTCTGCTGCTGGCACAGGGTCACCACAATAGGTAGAAGAACACTGTAGCATTAAGACTATATGTTTGTATTCCTTAATGTTTTAACTGTTTGTGGCATAGATGCTTTTTCGTCTTCAACTTCAAGCCTGTATACAAGAAGACGCATTCAAATTTAAAAAATGTTACTCAATTGCAATTTTTTGACAATGTTTCAAATCAACTTTGGAAACAATGAGCTGAGGAGTTAATTTAATCTGTTAGAGCTGAGAACAGTTGTAGCAGAATTTGATAGGTATGCCTACATTTGTAAACATCAGCAGACTCAGCATGAAATAAAATGATTGTGCTTTTTATTGACTATCGCAAATAAGAGACAAATATGTGACAAACTGGCTAATGTTTTTTTCTGGTTGAGAATCATGCCAATGTGCGATCTAGCAGCCATCTGTATTACTGGAATATTGTAGTTTAAAATTGCTTCCAACTGTATCACATTGGAAAGGCAGCAAGGAAAATATGAGACTGAGTTTCTGTGTTTTTGCAAATAATATAGAAGTATGAAAGGTAGACCTCAGATGAACATGTTAGTTTAAAAATAATAAATGTAACTTGAAAAAGAAACTGTTATTTTCTATATTATACTGTGCACAGTTACTCACTAGATTAGAAATTGTGGAAAACTGCACGTTGCAGGTCAAAATAGGCTTTATATATTCTTATGAGTAAAGACATTTGAGTCCAAAAGGCATAAGGATTTATTTTTGCCTCACCCTCGTGCTGTTTATTATCAAACCTTTTTTTATCTAATCGTGGTGAGCACTTATTTTTGGCATGTTGTACAGCAGGAGTACCCAAAATGTAGATCTCCAGATGTTTTAAAACTATACCTTCCATGATACTTTGTCATACTAAAGGCATGCAAAGCATGAAAGGAATTGTAGTTCTACATCACCTTGGAAGCTACCTTTTGGGCACTCCTGTGTACAGTGTTTCCTAGTCTGTAGATCAAAATAGCCAACCTGCAAAATATCTCAAAACCTAATATTATTCCAGAAATTTACTGTTTCTATATACAAAGTAACAATAGTTACCAATATTTAATATAATATTTATATTTTTATTAAAAATGGCATGATTGTCAGTATGGGGAAATTGTGAGGCTAAGGCAATTTTGAACCACATTAAGGGTTATTTATTAAAGTGAGAATTCAAAATGATTTTCAAATTTACAGATACTGTAGCTGAACTGAAAGCATAGCTGGCTTAGATAATTTTTCCAGGTTGCCTATTTTTAATTACATTTCACTTTGATTTCTCAATTTAGTAAATAAACCCTAAATCCTGGGAGTTATTAAATATGTAGCGGGATAGAGGACCTAACTACACTGCATGGATCTGAGTGCTTGGCCGCTCAGATCAGGGCTATTTAACAATGTATTGTTTGTGGGGTCCCCTTGTTCGCAAATCGTGTTTAGGCTTGATTAGAAGATTATGTTTGTCCCATTCTAAATATGATAAAAATGAGTATTACTCTGTGGGTAGGTATTAATGTATCTTTTGGATATGATATTGAAACACATGGCCATTAACATATCAAAGGACCCCCTATCTAAGACGGAATCTAGACATATGGCAAACTAGAGAGTTAGTTTATATTTAAACCAGACTTCCAGGCCACTTATGTGTGACTTCTCACACCTTACAGTTTTATTGGGGTCCCAGCCTCTAAAAGGAATATTAACCTTCTGACCTCCCATACAATCAAATTAACCCCCTTTTGAAAATGTATTTTTTTTTTTAAATTGTATGCTTTTCTGTATCTGGGAGATAATTGAGTTTGTATAGTTCCTGACTCAATTATCTCCCATGCACAGGGGAGGGGATTGTGTGTAATTGTATAGAGACGCCCTGCTGGGGGTCTGTGTATAACTTTGCACCATGTCCCATTAAAATCAGTTGAGTTAACTGACAGGACTATGTTCGTCTGGTTACGGGGGAAATGGGTATTTGCTTGTACTGATGGTTTCCGAGTGGCTGAATGAAGATAATAGTGGAGGTAACCAGTCAGGTTACCTGTGGTCTGCTACATGATAATGCTGCTTTAAGCATAAAACTCTCAAATGTCTCATGTGCATTCCTAAAGGTGGAGATTAATCAAAGTATTCTCTTCTAAATAGTGTTCTAGTGTACTATATGTTGGACAATCACCATGGAAACAAGTGGAACCTGCAGGTACATGTAATTGCTGACAACTCCCCTTTTAAATTTTTTTACCACTTTTAAAAACAGAACACTTTGATAAATATCTCTGATCGTATTCTAAGGCAGATTGCCACTTTTATTAATGCCATGAAAGTGCACACTACCTTTTTATTACATGCATAGATCTGCTTAGAAAATAGAATTTACCGTTCTGCCCTATGTGTTGCAAAACCCATTTATTCTGCTTGTCATATGTTAATAGATGTGACATTTTAATGAACAAGTTGATATTGTCTGCCTAAAGGGAGCTGACTATCTTCCATGCAAAGCTTAAGAAAAATGAATATAGGCATATGCTGTGGCTTTTGGCCAGTATTGGATTTCCTTATTGCTGTGTTAAATCTGTTCTCAAATAATAATAGTTACCCAACAACTGTCATTTCATAATATTTGTCATTTGTATTTCATTTATCATTGATTAGATTTCCTTATAAAATATCTCCTCCTAAAATATTCTTTTGAGCCTTTACATGAAATCTATTTTATGAACAAATTTATTTTCCTACTACATATTGTCTGAAACCACAAGTCATAACAAGTTATATTTTACTATAATCTCTTCAACCTACAGGTTTGATCTTTCCATATCCCAGCCGTTGGTAGTTGACAGCTGTTATATTGTGTTTAACAGGAAGTTGATTGAGTAGCTCTTTTACTGTTAAGATTCTTTTTCAGTTATATTTTCTCAGCTTAAGTTGTTTTTTTGAACAAAATGCAACCTCAGCATCCCATTAAATGTTACAGGGAACCATTTCATAGCTACCTTTTGCTTTGAGATTTGATGTGTGTAAAAAAAAGACAATTTGAATTGGCTTGATTCAAGCATGAGTTCAAAAAAGCTTTTAACTTACCCAAGATGACAGTTTTAGATGCTTTTTCTGTGCATATTGCATTTTATTGTCATTATATGTTGTACTTTTAAAATCATGTGATTTAGAGTGTAAGCTTTATAGAAAAGTAAACCATTTCAAAGTATTTGTGTTAGCGGTCAAGTGGACAAGAGTACAGAACTGAAAGAAAGTGGAACACAGTTTTATAAAAATAACTAATTCCAATAAATGCAATTTTAGATGTTTTCATTGTTAAAAAAAAAGAAATGTTACAATCATTTGATGTCTCAAGTTTTAAAATGATTCAAAATGTTAAATATCACTAAATATTTAATTGTTATTTAGCTGATATTAATGTACATTGCAACACTTTGCCCATATATGTCAGGCACTTGCACTGGGGGCTTCTACAGTCATCAAGAAAAATTGGAGTAAACTGGAAAAACACAAATCTTATCAGTTGGTGCTTTGCATCCAAAGCTCCCTTTGGGTCCAATATTCATACTTTAGTGAAGACTTTGCTGAATAAAAATAATATAATAAGTAAAATACATTTTGTGCCAGTATGCTGTGCCAATTCTTTGTTGAAGAAGGGATTGCATCTGCTATGCAGCATTTCATTCGATCATATTAGACAGAATAAAAAAAATACCATATATTTCAGAATATAAGAAGCAGCGTAAAATATAACACACCCATATATTTGAATTAAAAATGTATAGCAATGCAATGCAACAACCAGTATCATAATTAAGTTGAACTTCACTTTATGTATATAAAGAATGTATAGAGAATGTACATTAATTAGCCATTAATGAGCTTAGGGTGCCTGACCCTGACACCGGTTCACTGGATGTCCTTCCTTGCATCACGTTTGGTAGATACTAACCACTGTATAACGAGAACACAAGAAAACACAACAAATAGCCTGCAGGGACATGAAATACTCACCAGAACAACTACATTAGGCTGTAGTTTTTCTGGTGACTATAGTGTCCCTTTAAGAAATGTATTGTGAGTATCTTTGTAGGAGATGTAATATATGTGTTTAGAGAATGCTGTGTATCTGTGTGTGCTTAGGGTATGTAGTGTGTGTATAGGGAATCCAATGTATGTAGAGGATACAGTGTGTGTGTATAGGGGATGTACTGTGTTAAGGGAAGACATGTGCATGTACAGTGGCTGTAGTGTGTGTGTAAATTTGAGTGGTGGGATAGGGTCTATAGTGGGTGGTGGGGCTGGGAAGAGAATAGTTATAAATATATGTATATATATATATATATATATATATATAAATAAATATATTTGTGGCTGGAATTTAATAGAATATGGAATGTGGTAGGTGGTGTAAGTTGGTGGTGTTGTGCCGAAACCAACAGATGAGTAGGCCTGTAACAAAAGAGGTCCCACCAAGGGTAGTGTAATATTAAGATGTATGAGGGTGTGGTGGGTGGTATCAAACAGCGGGAATGGCGTAGGCGAGTTAGAGCCTTGCGTTTAAGTAGGCAAATAACTTCTCCCACAAATTCAGGCCTAATGGCCTTCTTACTTTTGGTCGAAATTTAATAAAATAAGGAATGTAGTAAGTGGTGTAAGCTGGTGGTGTTGTGCGGAAACCAACAAACGAGCAGGCCTATAATAAAAGAGGGCAAAAAAAAATGATGAAGAAAACACACTTTATTACATTCTTATAAAGCTAAACACTAAATGCTTTCCTTATCTCTTGCACGGGTTGCAGGATGTAAGCATTATACACAGATGACTGCCATCTACCCAATTTTTTGATTATGTGGACCGGTGTGTCTGAACTAGATACCAAAGAGGCTGCTCCTATTCTGAAGGAGTGTCTGGAAAAGGAAGAGGTATCATAGCCCAGTCTTAACTGTAGTGTTCTCATGTAGAAAATTAACTTGGATGTGGTGAGAGATTGACCATGAAGTTGTAGTAGTGGAGAGTTAGGTGGGTGGCTGTTGTGTGTGGTTAGAAAAGAGTAATATTTTGACAGGGCACCAGTCATTTCCTGTGGGGAAAAGGGGGATTGTGGAAGGATGGTTGGTCTGATTAGTTTTTGAGGTTTTAAGTGATAGAATGTAATGGTTGTTGTGTTTAATCAGGTCAGATTTTTTCAGACTCGTGTTGATATCTAATTAGCGTATGACTGTAAACTCTCTGGGTCTAAGGAAGCTATAGAAGGCGATGTAGATAGCAACCTCAATGACTGAATTAGTCTGTAAATCGAAGTGTTAGAGTCTAATATGTTACTTAGTTCTCAGAAAATGGGCCCGTCTATGGGTAGTCTACTGGTTGTATGAGGGCAAACTGTTTTATTAATAACTTTAAGGATAGTTTTGATGGGATATGAGGAGACAGGAAAAGTGGAGAGAACGTGATGTTGTACGCCTGTAAGGTATAGTTTAATGGTGTTGTGTGATAATTTGAGATGTAGGTGACAGAAGGAGGTAAAAGCCACCATGGTCTCTATGGAAATTTTGAAATCTTACACAAACTTCTGGAAAATGGTTAGTGCCCTGTCGTAAGTGGTCTTGGTGTTAGCTGAAAGCGCATTGTGTGTAAGTGTTTGTCCATAATTTTTTCGTGGAATTCCGATATCCTGGTTGGTTGGATGCCGGTATCCTGGTTGGTTGGATGTTGGCGAAGGGATGGACCTTTAAAAATACCTGAAAATGAGATCAGGAAAGTGCGTCAGCTGTGGTTATTTTCTCCTGGGATGTGTTCGCAAACTAGGCAATATTGTAATTTGGCGGCGAGCCAGGTCAATTTCTGGACCAACCTCATGATGGTTAATGAGCAGGAGCATCCCTTGTTGATTATCTCGCAGGCCATCGAATTGTCTGTGTAACACTTGACTGCCTTGCTGGACCAGAGATAACCTCAGGTATGGACCGCAGCCACAATAGGGTAAATTTCAAATAAGGCAGAGGTTTCTCTAAAGTCCGGCAAGGTAGCTGTGTCTGTTGGCCAGTTGTCCCTGAACCAATAGTTGTCAAATATTGCTGCGAACCCGGTATTGGCTACTCCGTCCGTCCATAATACTGGGGATTGCTCAGTTAGTGGGGGAATGAACATGGAGATGCCATTCCATTCTAGAATGAAATTCTTCCACATGTGCAAATCGGCTCTGGCTTGTGGGTCGATTACAATAGTACCAGCATCTGATACACCATGTAAGAGGCACAGTAGTCTGGAGATGAACAATCTACCTTATGGAATGATGCTCATGGCGAAATTGAGTGATCCCAGTAAAGACTGGAGAACTTTTCACATGCAGGTATCAATCCGAAAGAATAGACCTAGTTCTTCCCTGATGCGGACCAATTTCTCATGGGGAGGCTTGCTTGAAAGGACACTGTGTCTAGTGATATACCCAGGAAAACCAGTTTAGTCGTGGGGCCTAGCGATTTGTCGGGGGACAGAGGGACACCTAGGGTTGTGAAGAGAGCTGTGGTACTAAGGATGCTTCTTGGTGTGTGAGAGCCTGTTTTAACTAACAAGAAATCGTCCAAGTAGTTTATAACTGCTACACACCTAACGACGTTCAGGAGCAGCCAGCAGAGGAATTCTGCAAAGATGTCGAACAGTTTTGGGCTGCTCCTTGAGCAGAACGTAAGCCGAGTTGCAAAGTAATATTTGTCCCTCCACTTAATGCCATGGATATGCCATAATGACGGATGGATAGGTAGAAGTTTGAACAAATTTAAAATGTCAGTTTTACTCAGTAGAATGGCTTGCATGGCGTTATCTAGTGTGGCGTAGTGGAGGGAAAACTCTTCAGTGGGTATGAGTGAATTGATGCTGGGGTTGAGCGAGGAATGAGGAACGGAGAGATCTATGAATAATTGTTTTTTATTGATTTGTTTTAGCCAAATTTATTTATGGGATTTATACACTAGGTGGAGAACGAGGATTCCGTGAATGGAACTATCATGAAACCTGCCTAGATTTCTTTAGCTAACAATTCGTCCACCGTGGTAGGATCATTGGAGGCGGACAAAAGGTTCAAGCATTCTAAAGTACCTGGTTAAAACCCTGAGAGAACCCTGTCACCAGAAATTCCACCAGTCGAGGTGAGGGGTAAGTGCGTAGGTGGTATGAAAGTGCGTCAATATTAACCTCTGTTAGTAATTTTTTTTGGAAAAAGCTTGGTGGGGCACATAACTTTTGTATGTGCTCTAAAACAGATAGAGCATATGTGCAACAGCCTGCATGCGCTGTAATTGCAGACGCCGGCATTAAAATTGTTGCACACTTGTGCCTTGCCAAGGGATACTATGGGCCTGCCAAGCTTATCCCTTTGAACACTGTCTTGCCTGGTGTTTGAGCTAAAAGCGGGATGTAAAGAGGAGGAATCTGTTTCGCAGGGGCACAAGTTGGTGGAGTGCGAGGTGGAATTGCATACTGGGCAACACGGGGCTTCAGGCCGGTAAAATGTTGGCAGAACAGCTCTGTGCCCATCTGACTCCAGTCTATTCAGATGTTGAACTGGGCCAGATGAGTTGCTGCCTTGGCTGACACCGACTTATGGTAGTCGTAAAACGCGGAGCCCCCATTTGTGAGCCCTAAGCCCACCATCTTATGCATTTATAGATCTAATTCTTCCCGCCTATGGTGGTGCACAGAGCAGATTACGTCTCTGTATATCCCAAAGGCGATAGAGAATAAAGGGATGGAAATTTTTTTTGTTATGACGTGGGTCTCTGGCTTTAAGCACAACTAAAATATCTCTGTAGTTGTAAGCTCTGTTTTCAAGGATGTCCTGCAAGGCGATAAGGAGGGAAACCAAGTTAACGTCTTTACCGTCAAGTATATCTTTTTTAAGGGAAGTAAGATCGAGTTGATGGGGGAAATTTTGGAGGGAAGTGGCGATGGGGAGGAGGATAGCATTAC